TCTTTCACAGGATCAGATTTCGGTCTGTCAATCAGAGTGGCTTTCAACCCCCCCTCGGGAAAAATGGAAAAGCCGGATTCTTCCGGATTTTTGAAGGGGATTCAACTTTACTCCCCCAATAACTCGGAATAGGGTGGGTGGGGAAGGAAGAGACCCCAATATCTGCAAATAATTCCCCCTTTGTGGGAAAGGCTCTAGGTCTGTGGGGATCCCACTGTTTCTGCCCCTCTGATATACAAAGGTAGTGAGTGGGTCCATGAATTTTGGATCTCACAACTTTGGGAAAGTGGGGACATGGCTCCCTTTGTGCCAGGAAAGATATAAACAGGACACAAATTAATACTATTTGTGTTGTTCCTCAGAAGTCTCTGGTGGCAACCCCAGGGCCCAAAGGTTGCCAAAGTCGGCAATTTCCCTCCAAAATCTCCCCAACATAGTCACTGTTGTCAACCTGTGGAGCCAAAAATGTAGAACATTGTTCCCTACTTTATGCAAAATTACATTACAGAAAAGTGGTATGAATTTAGGATGAATTTTAGGAATATTTTGATCAGAATAAAAAAATATTGTGCAGGTTCTATGGTTTTGTGCATAAAAACATGAAACATAAATGTTTACAGGTGCCAAAGGAGGGAGTGGTTCTATTATTGTGAGTCAAATGTGTGCTATTTGTATTAAAATAACAAGACTAGCATGGTTCTGTTATATAGGTACAATTTAGATTTAACTAAGATTAACCTAATAAAGGTACCAAATGGAGTTGGACTTCATGCAGAACATACATTTTAAATTCAAAAGCTTGATAAATACAAAATCAGGATAAAGAGGATTCTATTCACCCTCACAACTCCTCCAGAAAGAAGTGTTGTGTGATATCTTTGACTTTGGGAACATCCTTCAAATCTTTTTAAAAGGTTTTGCTGCATGTTCAAGAACTTGGTAGTAATTCACAGGCCAGCTTGCTTCAATATACAGTGGTGCCTCACTTAACGATTGCCTTGTTAAATGATGAAACTGCTTGACAATGAAGTTTTTGCGGTAGCTTTTGCGATCACAAAATGATTTTCCTATGGGGAAAATTCGCTTAACGATGATCAGTTCCCTGCTTCAGGAACCAATTTTTCGCTAAACGATGATTCTGAAACAGCTGATCGGCAGTTCTAAAATGGCCGCCCGCTGTGCAAAATGTCTTCCTGCTGCATTTTCAGGACGGATTCCCCACTTTACAGGCACTGAAAATGGCCATCCCTATGGAAGATCTTCGCTGGACGGTGAGTTTTCAGCCCATTGGAATGCATTGAACCAGTTTCAGTGCATTTCAATGGGCTTTTTCGTTTCGCAAGACGGTGTTTTCACAAGACAGTGATTTTCGCGAAACAAATTATCATCATCTTACGAGGCACCACTGTACTGGGACCAAGGAATAGAATACCATGCCCAGTTTTGCACAAGGATACTGTTTCAATGCACAAAAACAATACTGTATAATATTAATATGAAGGTTAGGATTATCATAGAATCATGAAGTTGGAAGGGGCCTACAAAGCCATAGAGTCCAACCTCCTGCTCAATGCAGGAATACAAATCAAACGGTATCTGCCAGGTGGTTGTCCAAATTCCTCTTGAACGCCTCCAATGTTGGAGCATTCACCATCTTTCAAGGTAATTGGCTCCATTGTTGTACTGCTCCAACAATTAAGAAGTTTTTTCTGATATTCGGCCTAAATCTGACTGAATAAATCAAAATAACATTCAATACTTGAGAGCTGCCATTTTCAACCTTATTTTGGCTGTGGTGATGAACACAAAATGAAAGAAATACAGGCTGAACCAGGATTATATAAGTCACATAACGACCCTCATAAGGTGTTGTATGAAGAATTGTTTCCAGTCTGTGACCCCCTTCAAATGTGCTAGGGGGGCCTCAGCGGGCCATATGGCCCTCATTGAAAATGGCTGCTTTAGAGAGCCACTCACAACAGCATAGAGCTTAGTGGTTCCCAACCTTGGGTTACACAGGCCTTCTTGCATTCTCGCAAATCCCAGAAGCCCTCACCACCAGCTATGCTGGCTAAGAACACCTGCGTTACCCAAGGCTGGGATCCACTAATATAGATTGTGGTGGAATCTAATGGCAAATTATGAGTAAGTCAAGATCACAAATATTTTAGTACTATATAAGAAACAACATTTCCAGTTTGGCACTCTTCAATTTCCAGATGCTCTCCTCCATAAAACAGGATAGGTTGTCAGGCTTTGGAGTGGTTACAGTTTGCAGAGAATAGCTCCAAATTTTGTACCTCTAATACCTCCTTCTCAAAACGTATTTCCTCTGTGACTACTATCTGGCATAGCCTCAGCATCCAAGATGTATCATAAAGGCACATACATATGACCATAAGTGGTGAAGTTGGTACCTTTGTGGATAGTCTAATTGGGGCACTATCAATGCTGAACCTGCTCTAAGGCTGCAGAAGATCTTGGAAACACTAACAGCTGCCAAATTAATTAAAAGGAAATGTGAATTTGGGATGAAAACTGACATTCCAGGGAGATGTATCCTTCACTGAGAAATTGAAACCAGATAGTGGAAGTTATTTAAAAGATAGCACAGCCCCAGTTCAAATAAAAATGTGTAGACCTATCTTTAAATGCTCTGAGAACCTGTTTTTAAAATTTGTGGACTGTATCAGAACACTCTTAAGGTACTTCTTTGGCACAAACATTAATTGTTTCGGGATGCACTGCAGGCGGAATTATATAGGAAGTGATTTCAGCTCATGCTGAGTTTCTGTGACCCTGATAGGCCATTGTTTCTTCTCATGCCTCATAAGGTGGATATGGTGCTTTGATTTTATAGAACCATGATAGTACTTTACACTGTGTGACATATATGTCCATGACATTAACAGAGCTTTGAGAGAGGAAAAAAATAAGTATACTCACATTCAGAAAGAGATGTTTGACAACTTTTTTTGCTTGTTGGAGTTATTATGGATAGATAGTGCAAGCAGAAACTTAACTTCAGATAGCATTGTTTTAGAAACCAATATATGATGAATCCAATGTAGGATGCTCAGAGTTGCAAAGCAGGATCTAGCTGTGCCTTACATACTAGATAAACCTATGCCTCTGCCAGATACACTTTCAAGTGCCACACATATTTAATGGTATGCAAAACAGACTTCTGAAGTGGAATTGCAAGTTTATGTAAGTGATGCCACTTCCCCAAATCAACAGGAAATGGTAACAGATAAGAGGAAAAGGAAATAGGACTCCATGGTACTTCTGGAACTTTGTGTACTGGAAAGCTGGCTGAAAATTGTAGCTGCTACAATTCAAGTATATAGAATTACAGTGGTACCTCGCTAGACAACAACCCCGATAAACGACTAATCCACATAAGATGACTTTTTGCGATCGTTATAGCGATTTGCAAAACAGTAATTCCAATGAGCAATTTTCACTTGACGATGATTTGGTCCGTGCTTCGTGGACCAATTTCTACAGCTGATTGATGACTTCACAAAATGGCTGCCCTATGTTTTTGGGACGTATGCTTTGCAGGACAGCCATTTTAACAGCTGATTGGCGCTTCGCAAAATGGCTGCCCTATGGGCGATTTTCGCAAAATGACGAGGTTTCAATGCATTCCAATGGGGAAATGGTTTTCGCATGACGATGATTTCGCTAAACTGTGATTTCTATGGGATGGATTATCATCGTCATGCGGGGCACCACTGTATTGGAAATTAAGGCATAACTTCTGAAAAATCGGTAGAATAATTTCAAAGCAAGAAAGCAGCAATTCCCAGGACCATCTTACATATTATATTCTAAAAAATTAATGATGTTAATCTAAGGATTTAAAAAAATTAAGAATGTGGTGTGGGAGGTTATGTAGTAACCATAAATCAATCATATTTTAGCTAACCCTTTTGCCAGTGGTTTCACCTGTGTGAAGTTTCACCCATCCCAGCAAATTTAGGTCCTGAAGAACATGAAAAAGTAGGCTTTGATCTCTTTACTTGAAACTTGCATAGTTACAGTTATAGATTACACTTGATAGTAACTTAATAGCTACAGCTTGTGTACTTGGTAGTTACAGATTATCCTTTCTAAACCTGCACTCAACATATCCAACTGGTGTATTGTTAAGAGTTGACTGGAAAAATGTATTTTGCAACTTTTAATTCTAAACAAACTCTTTAATAATGGTGGGCCTCAGTTTTGCAGTACAGAAT